GTAGCGATTTTAATTGAATATTTTGATTATTTATTTATTTTTTCAAATTAAAACTGAACTTTATTGACTGTGTCCTTTTCCAGACTTTTTATTAATTTATTGTAATTAATTATTTGCATGCAATTAAAAACTAATTTTAAACGATGCCAAAGAAGGATAACTTCTCACGCGCCTACATAAGTACACGCACCCATTTTTTTATCAACGAATCACCTGATTTTCCTGATAAGAAATCGTTAAATTATAATATGTATCTTGTTATTTATAAAAACAGCATGTATACAGAGTACGCATGTCAGAAGTGAAACGAACTTTCATAATAATAATTATAAAAATATATATTAACATAGTTGCATAATTTAAAAAAACAATAAAATCAAAAATAATTTTAAACTAATATTTGTTGATAGAAAAAAAAAGGTTAAAAATGGCGCGTCTGGCAAATCATTTCTGAGCTCGATTGTAAATGATGCGTTTTCGAGGATATGTTCGCCATAATAGCTCTTAGTTTGTTTTAATTGGTATACACCATGTGCGAATAAAAACAGCTCGTGCTCAGTCAATCATGGGAATTCAGCAAAATCTTCCATATCCGCTGTCATTGTCCTGAATTGAGCACGTCCAAGGTTGTAATTGTTGGCTTCAACGAGTGCGGCCAATCTGTTTGGCATATTTATTCTTTCATGAATAATCTCAAGGAGGAGGAGCTCGATGGCGCAAGTGGTTAGCGCGTTGGGCTGCGATCGTTGAAGTTAAGCAACTTTCGCAGTGGTCGGTCATTGGATGGGTGACCAAAATTTACTATCTCGAGCTCCTCCGTGCTTCGGAAGTCACGTTAAGCCGTTGGTCCCCGCTGCATATGCAGTCGTTAGCATCCACCAATCCGCATCCGTAACACATTCGCCAGTTCACCCCCCAAGTCCAGCGTGCCTAAAGAAGTTTCTCTTGAAAATAGATTTATATTACATTATAAAAAAAAACTTGAATAAAGGTCGATTTTTCAGAAATCGATAAGGTCGATTCATTAGGTCACGATTCGAATCGATTTAAAAACTGATCTTTTTCGGAAAGAATCGCCATCCCTAGTTCGCGGACGTTTTGTGCTGTCAAAAACATCGTCGCGTCAACCGAAGCCGTCGGTCGGCGTCCAAACTCTCATACCTTGTTTAGACTATGCCCATGCCGCTGCCCCTCGCGTTGCCGGCAATAATTCCCTCAATATTGCTGCGGCATGATTAAGAGAAGTATGTGTTTACATACTGCCCTACCTCTCATTTCGCTTCAAAGTTTCGGCAATGGCAGACGTCGAAGTAATTACAGCGGCTGCGCTGTGTCTTTTTGCAATCCATAATTTTATTATGTTCGAAATTTAAAAATATATCAAGTACAAAAAAGAAAGTTCGTCGTAGAAGATGGTGGATGTTATCTATCCATCGTAATAGAACTTTGTAAGTAGCTACCAACCCACATAACTGTTTTTTAAAAGCTTTTATATAACTTGCAATGTATGTAATGTATGTTTGTTCGTTCGGGTGAAATCTTGCAACTCAATTTTGAAGCAGATATCTTCATTCGATTCAGCTGAAATTTTGTATACATGTTGAGTTTGGATGACAATACATGATTAGCTGTGTGACCTCATTCTTAATCCAATATGTTATGCTAAACTTAAAAAAAAATGGGTGCGTGTACTTATGTAGGCGCGTGAGAAGTTATCCTTCTTTGGCATCGTTTAAAATTAGTTTTTAATTGCATGCAAATAATTAATTACAATAAATTAATAAAAAGTCTGGAAAAGGACACAGTCAATAAAGTTCAGTTTTAATTTGAAAAAATAAATAAATAATCAAAATATTCAATTAAAATCGCTACTGAATATAATTTATTAGAACATATGTGATTTGCACTTGTATGAAACTCAAACACGTATTCCGAATATACAAACTAGAAACATGTGGATAAATATTATAAATATTATAAAATTTTGTGTTACAGTGATGCGCGCGCATCTTAAAATTTCACTCTCATCATTTTTTCATAACGCGCCTAAAGAAGTATAACTTCAAAAAGCACACGTCTTTCGCTTTCCACCAAGCATCGTGTTTACATACTCGTCATGCCCACTTCCCTTCTTACTCGCGCTGCATGTAAACGAGGTATAAACGAGGTATCAATCAAGGACGGCCTAAAGTCGCGTACGCGACTTACGTCCGATAGCCTACACAGTTCAGTGTCATTCATTCTCTAAATACCTATAAGTCTGATACTTTGTTTCCAGCTTTAGTCTTCATGTGTCAACTGTGTCAGCAAAAACTCAAAATGAGTAATCACTAAATATTTTACATTAATTACTTTAAAACTGTACTTATGAATGAGAGAAGACGTTTTTCTTGTTACTTATAGTACTATAAGTAACACTTATAGTTCCCGAGTATTTTATGTACTATCTTAAAACACACATAGGGCTCTATGTCTGAAAAAACGTATAATACACTCCCTGACACTTGAATCGAGCCACCTTACATTCCCGGGCCTAAAAGCCCAATACACAAAAAATATACAATATAACAAAAAAGATTTTATGTATTTTTAATGCTGGCATATTTCATCATCTTTCCGTATGTATGATTCCAAATTTGAATTTTAGAATTTAAAATAAAGAACAAAAGCCGAGCTTGGACACTGATTTGAATAAAATAATGACTGTTGAAAGTTGCTTTTGAAGCAATTTAATGTCGATTTGGTTTGAATTTTCGCAATTGTTGTAAACCAAAGTTTAGTTTAGTTATTTTTCTATAATTTGAACCGTTTTTGACTATAAAATTATGGATAATTCACCTGAAGTAGCCGCGCAAGCTGTAGCACTTCTTCAATCTGGGCTAAGTCAGCGAGATGTGAGTTCACAACTTCACATAAGTCGTTCAGCTGTTCAAAGAGTGTACCACCGATACCTGGAGACTGGCGGCTTCGTTCGGCGAACAGGAGGACCTCGTTACCGAGTGACAACGGCGAGACAAGATCAATACATTGTCACTTCTAGCTTACGAAATCGACGCCTTAACTCTGTTCAGATACAAGAACAGCTCAGGGACTTTCACGGAGTGGCTGTAAGTGCTCGGACCGTTAGAAGGCGACTCAATAAACGTGGTTAAAAGCCCCATAAGCACACCGAATAGCCCGTCTAGAGTTTGCGCGCGAAAACATCTAAATTGGACTCGACATCAATGGAGCCAGGTTCTATTCACAGATGATTCCAAGATAATGCTATACGGTATTGACGGAAGGAGTAAGGTGTACGGAAGACAGAACGAGCGTTTCGCGCAATGCTGTATTGACGAGAAAGTGAGTTATGGTGGAGGATCATGGACAGTCTGGGGAGGAATCTCTATGGAAGCCAAAACTGAGCTAGAGGTAGTGACGAGACCACGACTGCCGCCCTTAGATGGCAATAGATACATTTGCCAATGTTTAGAGAACCACGTGATGCCATATGCTGGATTTATTGGCCAAGATTTCGTTTTAATGCATGATAATGCAAGGGCCCATACTGCGGGAATCGTCAGGGAGTACTTAAATGACATTAGTATCACTGTTATGAGATGGCCAGCGCGAAGTCCTGATATGAATCCTATAGAGCATCTATGGGATGAGCTGAAGAGGCGTGTTCGAGCTCATCATCCTGCCCCACAAACCGTGCAGGAGCACAAAAATGTAATTTTGGAAGAATGGGAGGACATTCCTCAACATGTCATAACGACATTGATTAATTCTATGCCAAACCGTATGAGAGCTGTCATAAATGGAGGAATAGGGAGGCAATACAAGTTACTAAATAAACATTTCTTTTCATGTACAACATGTCTTTATTTAAAAATCGATTAGATTTTTTTCCTTGAAAAAAGCAAATATGGACTTGTTTCAACGTAACTCGACTTTTTTAATAAACTGTAGTTCAAATTTAGAACAGTGGCACTACATGAATGATGAGTATACAAGTTCCAAAACTGCATCAAAACATTTTCCTTCTACATACATATTTTATAAGTTACAGTACTCCAAACCAAAAAATCAAGGTGGCTCGATTTAGGTGTCCGGGAGTGTATTTACACGATGTTTCGAAGTGTAGCCGCGGCGAGAGAGCGTGCCCGACTGAAAGCAAGTCGAGCAATTACCTTAATTTCGTATTGCCAAACTAGAAGCGTGTATGACTTATCTATAACTTTAAAACATCATACATTATTATATAATTATTTTTTGGCAAATGGCAACGATTTTCTGTTGCCAAAGCATCAAATATATTCTATTAGATAGGTAACTAAAGCAGTGATAATGATTCTGTTCATCTTTCATTACACTATTAGGTATTTTATTTCAAGAATCAATCATAAATTGGTATAGTTAGTTCACCACGGTTTCACATATATCATGCATGCATGGCTGGACCTATTTACATTAATTGCCATTGTGATTGAGTAGACATTATAAGCTGCCACTGCCACACACAAAAAATATCATACTAAATAAATTATGATTTAAAATTTAAAAATGATTTAATATTTATCTATATATATAAATAAAAATTTGAAAGTATCTGTTCATGTTCAAAAGAAGCTTTCAAACGATATATGTTTGAAAACCGACTACCACTTTTGAACCATCTCCTTTGAATCGTATTCATTGGTGTCGATTCTGGCGTGATTCTCTAAACTTAAAACTAAATTTAACATCAGTCTTTCCCTTTCATTCTGTATAGAAAACGACAAAGATGCACTGTTGTCAAATTTAAGTTTAGCTTTAGAGAATCATGTCAGAATCGACACCATTATCTAGTTATACAAAACTTAGTTAATTTTACATTTGCCTTTGTTTCTACCCAAGTGTCTAGTGCCTTTACCTTTTATTTGTCGTGCGAGGCCAATACCCATGCCGTGGAGCCAATAAAACAAACGCGTGTTCGTGTTGTCAAATCAACTGTCAATGTCACTGTCATTTTTGATGTCGCTTTGTTGTAGCTTGCATGCTTGTAGCGTGTCGGTGTGTTCCCGTTTAGCTTTATCAAAATTTGTACAATTTATTTAAAATAAAGTATTTTTTGCTTAAAAAAACAATATGCTTCGACGGCAGGCGCGATTGCGCCGCGAATACTTGTACCGCAAATCAGCGGAAGACAAGCAAAAGAACATTCAAGCGAAAAAAGACCAACTCAAGCGTAGTTTGGAGGAAAACATTCCTATTCATGGTGATTTAAGAAAGGAAGCACTTGCACTGCAGAATAGGATAGAGTACGAGGATAAAGGTTAGTTTTGTTACCATTATTTACAACAATATTATCTTGTCTTGCGTATTATAACCTCAACTTATTTACATGTGAAAATTTGCGAAAACGTATTTTTTAACTTTCTACTAACACTATAACTTCGAAAAGTTGTGTAGCTATATATTTTAATACAAAATAACCTACAAAATCCAAGATCTTCCTGAAGTTTTGAGTCAGCTAACACTCTGTAACAATCATAAATAATTAAATAATAGTTATTTTATCTTTTCAAATCAACCATTGGTAAAATGGCAAGGCCGCTGTACCATTCCAAAAAACAAATCAATACACTGATAAATAATTTCGAGATTTAAGGACAATGTGAAATTATCTGAAGTTTTGATACTTATGTTAATATTATTATTTTTTTGTAGGACCTGAGAGAGCAGCCGTAATAGGGGGCTACAGTGGTGGGGCTAACACACTCAACTCTCAAGATGATGAGTATAGATATGCAGGCGTTGAAGACCCCAAAATTATGATCACAACATCAAGAGAGCCTAGTGCGAGGCTCAAGATGTTTGTCAAAGAACTAAGGTATTTAACGTTTTAAATGTTAACATGTCTCATGGCTAATGGTGTTTCTACTTTTTTTTTATTTGACAACAGTATATATATAGTAAATAAAAAAGAGAGTTTACTGTCAAATTTAATTCAGGCAAATATGAATAACTATGTGAATTACCAGTGAAACTCGGAATGCATGAATTTATTATAACAATGGTGCCAATTCTGGCGTGATTCTCTAAACTTAAAACTAAATTTAACATCAGTCTCTCCTTTTCATTCTGTATAGAGAATGACAAGGATATACTGCTGTCAAATTTAAGTTTAGGTTTAGAGAATCATGCTAGAATCGACACCAATGGTGTTGATTCTGGCATGATTCTCTAAACCTAAACTTAAATTTCACAACTAGTGTATTCTTGTCATTCTCTATACAGAATGAAGGAGAGACTGATGTTAATATTCGTTTTAAGTTTAGAGAATCACGCCAGTATCAACACTAGTGTTAAACTAAATATATTGGTGAAGTTGTTTTCACATCTGAGTGTTAAGTCTAGAGAGGTAGTGTTCATAATATCATATTTTATTATCATTCATAATATCACAAAACACATTAATTACAGCAACACTCCAATTCTTATTTGTTTTAGGTTAATATTTCCCAATAGTCAGAGGATGAATCGTGGTGGCTATGAGATGTCGCAGTTAATACATGCTTGTAAAGCTAATGAAGTCACCGATTTCATTGTAGTTCATGAGCACAGAGGGGTACCTGACAGTTTGGTAAGTTTCTGAAATGAACAAATTGTTTGGAATTGTCCTAAATATAATACATTTAAGTTACTTATAAATGAGCTTCATATTTACAAAAATAAAGGGTGGTTAAAACTACTTATTTTTCAAAATAATTATAAAACAGTAATTATCAATTAAACAACTAAAAAATAATTACTTTAGTGAAGGTTCAAAAAAATTACATCATTGTGAATGCACAGTTTATGAAAACACAGAAATTAAATAAATGTTGATTCAAAAAATATAATCCATTTAAACTAAAATTGTATTATTACTGTATATTACAATGTCTTCAGTTAATGAATATTGAAAGTAAACATTAATTAAATAAATGTATACACTGGTTTAACTTAATACTAAAACAATATAATACCTTAAGCCTTAAGCTATTATATTGTTTTAGTATTAATTTATTAAGGTCATGTGCTTTTAAGAAGCAACAATATTTATTTTATTTTATTATCATAACTCTATTGAACTGGAACAGCTACACTTATTTTATTAATATTTCATAGACCATTTTTCAGAAAGATTATATTAACAAATCTTACATATTTATCCAGTAGATTTGCAAAAATAATTTAATAGTTGGCTCGAATGTCTTAAATTGGTATTTATACTAGACATTTTAATTTTTTTTATACGTCTGCATACTTTTCTAGGTCATATGCCATCTTCCATACGGCCCGACTGCCTCATTCACTTTATCCGGAGTGGTGATGCGACACGACATACCAGACATTGGCCCCATGAGTGAACAGTACCCTCATCTGGTGTTCCACAACTTCAAATCTGATTTAGGTGAGGCAATAAACATGTACATATTCTACATTATCTTATGATGGTACCCACTGTCAACTCGGCACTGTGGCATCGTCATACAATGTTGGTGCTATTTAGTTTAATAATAACCCATCAATATAGGCACAAATTCGAAATTCATTGTCATAGATATTGAAGTATCCCAATTACTTATTTTTTGTTCCTACATAGCAGATTTTGAAAATGGATTGTGAAGTGTTGTGTTTCTGTTATTGTGAAAGTTTGCAAGGTTCTATGGGGTAGAATTTTGAATTCAGGCTGGGAATGGGAAGATAGTTGGAGCAGTAGCTCCTCTCATGACTGAACTCCACTACAATTTGCTCTGCTTTATGTAAAAAAGCAGGGAAACTTAACTAGCTCTATTTCTTTCTTCCTGTCCTATTATTATTATATACCAAGAAAAATATAAAAAATCTGATTCAGATTAAAAAATGAAACTAGGAATGATAACATATGAATTAACTTTGATTGATCTTTCGCAGGATCAAGAGCAATGAGCATACTCCGATATCTCTTTCCTGTACCTAAGCCAGATTCCAAGCGAGTGATCACGTTTGCCAACAATGATGATTACATATGCTTCAGGCAACATGTATACAAGAAGGTAAGGCCTCCATACTATATCTCAAAGGTCCAGTTTTATAGTTAACAGTCATTAAGCCCTTTTCAATATTTTTTATATGCATAACTTCTAATTTTTAGAAATCTTTTGAAACTAGCATATTTTTTTTTTTATATATTAATTGTAATTTGCGAGCAGTGCGTGCCACTATAAGCAAATATGTTGGATGAACATTGGGGTGTCAGAGTGTGCCCTTCAGTAAGGACATCTCCTCCTTAATTCTCTTTATAGGACGTCTTTCCTTTTGAGTCGTTTGTTATAACTCCGAGTCATGAGTTGTGTTGCTAGTATGTTCGGGTGAGTCTCCAGCCTAGCCCGGTATTTCTGAGTCGCAATGGTTATTTCTTCCTTGACTGTTGACATTTCCAGGTGTTCGTGAATTTCATTATTAGTGATATACCATGGCGCATCGCTAATAGTTCGAAGGATCATGTTTTGGGCTTTTTAAATGCAAAGGATGTTGGAATTGCTAGCAGTACCCCAGAGTTGTATGCCATAGGTCCACTGTGGTCTAAGGATAGTTTTATATATCAGTAACTTGTTATCTATTGACAATTTGCTGTTGCGGCCCAATAGCCACAAAAGTCGTTGTAGCGGATGTTAAGTTCCTCTCTTTTTTTCTTAATGTGTTCTTTCCATGTAAGGCGCCTATCTTTGTGTAGCCCTAAGTAGCGTATACAGTTTTGATGAGGAAGAGTGACATTTTCTAACTGTACTGGAGGACAATTGCCTTGTTTCAGTGTGAATGTGCCGAGAACCAATTTTGTCGAACTTGCTCTTATTCTCCATTTTTGCAACCATTTTGTAATCTCATCCAATCCCTGTTGTAAAAGTTGTGTTGCAATAATAGGTTTTTTATGACTTGCAAGTATGGCAGTGTCATCCGCAAATGTAGCAGTTGTTACATTTTGCATTACAGGTAAGTCGGCTGTATAGACAGTGTAAAATACCGGTCCGAGGACTGAACCCTGTGGTACTCCAGCACATATTTCATAAAAATTTGATGTTTCTCCTGATTCTTTAACTTTGAATATGCGTTCGTTAATATAAGATTCGAAAATTTGGTGATAACTATGTGGTAGGCTACATTTTAGTTTGCATAGCAGTCCCTTATGTCAGACCCTATCGAATGCCTGCTGAACATCCAAGAACACTGTTGAGCAATACTCCATTTCCTAGAGTGTCTTCCTAATTCTCTCGTGAACTCTATGCACTTGTTCTATAGTGGAGTGTTCCTGTCTAAACCCAAATTGATGACTCGGTATAATATTGTTTTCTTTGAGTATTGGAAGTATTCTGCGAAGCAACAGTTTTTCGAAGATATTTGATAGGATCGGCAGTAAGCTGATTGGTCGGTATGAGCCGACTTCACTTGGTGGTTTGCCATCCTTATGCACCAATATTATTTGGGATACCTTCCACAGCCTCGGAAAGTACACCCTAAGTATTCCGTTATACAGAGTTGTTAAGAAGACTATAGCTTTCTTAGGAAGTTGTCTAATGACTTCTTTAGTGATCAGATCAAATCCAAGTGTTTTTTTTTGTTTCAATTCCAACGACACCCTCCATACCTCTTTGACTGTAACAGGTTTTGGTGGCAAAGCCATTTGATAATCTTGTTTTAGGATGATATCGACCAGATCTTCGTGTTCCTGTATAACCATATCGTTTGGACAGAAGATATTAGCTAGATGCTCAGCGAACGTGTCTGCCTTTTCTTTTGCGGTCCTAGCCCATCCGTCACGTCTTTTTATGGCAGGTTTCGCGGTTTGAGGTCTGTCATAGTTCCTCGTGAATTTCCACAACGAATAATCTGTATCGCTTGTTCCCGTTAGTGACTCCAGTTGCACTTTTAACGTGTCCTCATGCCAAGCTTGTAACATGTCTTTTAGCTCACTACATGCCTTGTTGAGTTTAGCCTTGTCCTCTCCGATTCGACTTTGATGCCATACTCTACGCAGTCTACGCTTTTCAAGTATTGCTAGTTTTATCTGTAGCGGATAGTTTGTGACTTTTTCGCTGCTGCTAATTGAGGGAGTATTAACCCAACATGCTTGCTGTATTAAAGAGGTTATGTGTTTAGTAGCATTATCTAGGTCGTCAGAGGTTTTGAGAGCCATTTTCATTTGTATGTGTTCTTCAATGTATTCTTAAAACGAAGTCCAATCAGTATATTTATTGTGCAGTGTTTCTGGCTTCATAGATGCAATGACTTTTGTGCTAACTGTTAAGATTACTGGTGTATGGTCTGAGGAGCTGTCCGAGCAAGATTCCGGTTTTAAGTAAAGTCTTGAGAGCCCCTTGACCACGAAGAAACAGCTAATTTATTACTATCGGTATGCCAGTATGTTGGTTCAGAAGTGGAAACAGCACTAAGGTTATTATGGACAATACTAAGTTTTAATTGCCTCCCGCGGGTAGTAGTTAGTCTGGCGCCCCAGTCAGTGTGTTTAGCATTCCAGTCCCCTCCTGCGATATATCGATTGCCCAGCGACTGGAAAAACTCAGAAAACAAGGTTTCGCTTATTTTATGTTTGGGAGGACAGTAAACAGCAGAGACAACAAGGTTACCATTTTTGTCTTCAATGGCTACAGTAGTAGCTTGTATGTGTTCAGTTTTATAGTCAGGCATACGGTGATGTTTTATTGACTTCTTTATCAGGAGTGCTGTGCCAGCATGAGCAATACCATCCGGGTGTTCGTTAACATAGCAAAAATGATCACAAAATCTCACTGAGGTTCTACTAGTGCAGTGGGCTTCAGAGATAAGCAGAATGTCTAGCTTATGTTCCGACATTAGTAGTTCTAATTCTTGTTTGTTCGGAGCAAGACTATTTATGTTCCAGGTGGCTAGCCGTAGTGCAATCATTTTGATAGTTTGTCAACAAGTTTAACTATGAGATTCATTAGGGTACTCATTTGTTGTAGGATTGTATCAAATTTTTCATTTTGTTTTAAAAGAATTTGCTCTAGCGTAAGTTCTTGAATTGCACTACGATCATGGGTTACATTTTCACCAGTGTTGCTCTCCTGAGTGTTCTGTTTTATTGTTTCTGCATAAGTTTGTTTCCGTTTATTGTCCTTTGTATCTTTATTCTCAGAATTTGAACTATCTGGTTTTGTGAGTCTGTTATGGTTTAAATTCATCCTTTTCGTTGTATTATTAAATCTTCTTTCCAAGATCTCTTTATAAACTTCACACCCTTTGTAGTTTGCTGGATGAGGGCCGTCGCACAGAGCACAGTGCGCAGGGGAGCTTCGGTCATGTTTTGGGCATTCTGCCGTTTTATGAGATTGACCGCATTTCACACATCTATATGGTCGCATGCAGTAGTTTTTAGTGTGTCCATATTGTTGGCACCTCTGACACTGCACCAGAGTCTTTCTTTTCTTTGGATCTTCGATTATGACTGACTGGTGGTATATGAATTTCAAATCTTTTATGTTCTTGTTATGGGGATTAGGTGCAAGATTGACAAAGAAAGTTGAAGTAGATTTCTTTTCAGGGCCATATTTTGCGTTTATCATTTCACCTAAAACTTTATATCCTGTTGCTTCTATTTCCTCTTTAATTATGTGTAGTGGTGTGGATGGGTGTAAATTTTTAATAACTATTCTACACCCTTTCTTATCTTTCCGGTTGAAAGTATGTCCCACCAAACCATTCTCTCTAACAATACTGATTAGGTTTTTATACACTTCTATGTCAACGCTGCTTATTCTGAACTGGTTTTTATTTATAATCTTATAAGTGAATTGAGTTTTTGCCGCAACAGTTTCAAGAAGTTCAGTTAATTTCCTCAGATCTTCCACACCATACAGGACAATAGGAGGTGGTTTATTTGGTTTTATTGGTTTCTCTTCTGTCAAATCTATTGGTAGTTCGGCGAAGCGGTTCGATGTTTCTGTAGTTTCTCGCAGAGATGTAGGACTAGTAGTTAATTTAATTTTTTTATTTCTGGAGATGGGCACTCTCTGCCATGGTGGAGGGCCATTCTTTTCAGAACCTATGGGTTGTGTCTTGATCGATTTGTTTTTCACTGCTTGCTGTTGGAATTACAGGATAACTACCTGTTGAAAGCAGACCTAGGTCGCGTTATGAATAGGCTAGGATGAAAGGCTTGTTGAACAAGATTCTTTTTGCTTCCAGTAACATTCACTGAAACAGGAGCCTGGATGCTCACACCTGAACAGTCTTCGGTAGTCAATTTCTCACTCGCAGGCCCGAGTACCTGCGAGCGCCGGGGGTCAGCCGGGTTGCATGACATCACATTCTCATTGACATTTCATTAAAGTGGATGGGAGATACTCCCGATACTTTCCCAAGGCATCGGAGCCACACTTTTTAGAGGTGATTTAATTTCTTTAGGCTTGTGGAAGTCAAGAACAGGATATTTGACCGCCGCCTGTGGCTCGGCGTTGTTGCTTGTTTAGCACCACCCAGGGGACACGTGTAGGGAGTTTCTAGGAATAGATGGAAAATCCTACGGACGCAAGCAACTCCATCCCCCAAGCATAGAAACTAGCATATAGATGAAACACTTTAATTTTTCTGTTTATATTAAGTCTCTTATTTATTCTTATAAATAACAACTAATAAAATTAATAATAACTATTATATCTTGTATCAAACAGTTCTCTTTTTTTATTCCAACAGGCAGGCAAAGAGATTGAACTTTCAGAAATTGGTCCCCGGTTCCAAATGAAATTGTATGAGATAAAGTTGGGCACTCTGGAGGCGCTGGACGCAGCCGATACGGAGTGGGCGCTGCGGCCTTACATGAACACGGCGGCCAAACGACGCTTCCTCAGCGACGAAGACGGCTGGCAGGAAGACGACCAGTTATAATAATAAATATAGCCAAAAATCCAATTTGCCTTTTATTTTGACATGTTTTATGCTCGCTATACCTACAGATTTTCCTTAGATTATCCACAAATGCACAGGTGTACAAAACAATATGATGGGACAGCTGGTGAAAAGTAAAGAACATTGAAGGGGTGATAAAAATAATTTCGTAAAAATTCTCTGTTCCGTTTTGAAGTTAATAAATTCATATATAGTTCATCATCATCACTAACAGTTGCACGTTTTAAAAGTTTATCTTTAAGGTTTGATAAGAGTTATTGCTGTCACTTTCTTTGATATAACGACGGACCATGAATATACTGCTGAGTCTCGGCCACGTCAATGGAAAATGGTATAGGACTATCTGAATAAATAAGAATTGCCCGCGACAATTCGCTTAGTGGAAATAATTTCTAAGCTGTTGAACATAATAATGAATATCAAATTGGGCCTTCCAAATACGGCCTTGGTACATTTGACAACACTACGTTCTACATTACGTTTCAAAATTTTTAATCGATTATAAACCATATACTATGTGATATGGGGCGCAAAGTCAGTTAAGAGACTACAGTTTTAGATAACTTGATTTGTTCTTAACTGTTATCATTGTAGAAATGCCCGTACCGGATTTTCTGAAGACACCACTCACTATATACGATATAGCGGAACAGTACTGGGACTTGAGGGCGTACCCTACTCCATATTTCTTCTCTCTTCTCGCACTTGTGTCAGAAGATAAGCTAGAGAGAGACAAATGTATAGAGCTAAGCACTCCTGAAGGGCAAGAGGACTGGTTGAACTACTGTAGAAGACCGAGGAGGACCGTTCTTGAGGTAAGATATGAAATACATCATAATATAGTTTCATGCAAGCGAATTGGTGTTAAATAAACGTACTTATGTATATCCTTCAATGCAAAGCAGAGACTACTGTCATATTCTTTTATGTTTCTCTTTCAGCACTCAAAGACTCATGCCAGCGTCAGATCCATTATATCCCTTGCGAGGTTAGCAAATCATCAAGGGTACATATTATCATTCGTCAATTTAATATTTGGTTCGCATCGTATTATGTTTCTTTCTTGCATACGTCACTACTTACATCAACCGTTCATGCCTCCATCCATTTCGCCTCCATCTATTTCTTTGTTAGTCTTATCATCTTTCATTAGACATATTCAGCTGTATGCCGGTTGTGAGCAGGGAGCGCAGCTACGAAGATTCAGTTCAGCGACATCCCGTGTGCACCTACATCAGCTTAAATTTAGTTTAATGCAACCCGACTTGCGCAAATGTTTGGTCTTCTATCCTGTAATCGCCCATTGCGAAAGTTGAAAATCAAATTTATCCGGAACCTTTATTGTTTTTAGGAGGCACATGGGACATGACATGATGAGTTTGGCGACCCCCTCCAAAATTTCAGGTTGTGGCCGCGGCTGCTTACGCTATTGTTCCCTATTTATCAATCTAATGGTTAAGTTAAGCGAAAGATTGGTAAATAAATTCTAAACTACCCACCCCTTAGCCACGACGTGGCGTGGACTAATCTGCTGGACCTTTGAACGGCTGGCACATATGTTTTAAGAGAAAAAAAATAAACGTACATATTTTCTCACCAGGTTCTTCACGACTTCCACAAGTCCGCATCGAAGCTGACGATACAAATACTATTCGAACTGTTCTCCAGCATCAAATGCCGCTCGTTCTCGATAGCGAGCAGTAACTTTTGTAACATGGGTACTAGAGTAGAGCTTCTAGTGGCTGTAGTTAATTATCACACCAAGCTTAAGAAAGAGCGGCTGGGTCTCGCTTCCAACTGGTTGAAGAGTTTGATCGTCGGCGACAGGATCTACGGATGGATCAAAAAAGGCAGCTTGGTATTTCCTAAACCGGTGAGAATTATTGGTTACTTGCGTTTTGGTACCCAAAAGATATTTTGGCAAATTTACAAGATACCTACAAATTAAATAGAAATATATATGACTAGCGTGATTGCCTGTGTAACTTTAGTTAATAGTTTGCCTAAAATCTGAATATCTGTACGTATAATATTTAACTATTAAGTTACATTAATTTATCTGTGATTATTACAGACCATTCCACATATTATGATTGGACCCGGCACTGGCTTAGCGCCTTTCAGGAGTTTACTGCTAGAGCGTAATATGCAAAACTCTTTAAGCAACGCAAAAATGCATTTATTTTTCGGATGCCGATATAAAGACAAGGACTTCCTTTGCAAGTGTTTATTGGAAACATTAGTGGAACGTCGGAGGCTGTCGTTGTATTGTGCTTTCTCCAGAGATCAGGATAAGAAAATGTAAGTATATACCTCCTACTCCGTTCCCGCGGTTTCTCCTGACACGCAGTTCCAGGACTGCGGTCCTTGGAATTGCGTGTTGGGTGTCCGGTGCAGGAGTAATTTCTGGTTTTGCCCTCGCCCATTTTAATCGAGCTCTTGAGTTGGGTGAAATGGATAGGGAGGAGTCTACAGATATCTTCGTTACACTCTCCCGGTGACGAAGGAAGTCCTTAAGCCTTTTCCAGAAATGAAAAAAAAACTAATTCTAAAGAAAATATAACTAGAAAAAATTCCACGCGGACCAGGCAGCAGACGGGACCCGTCTGCTGCCTGGTCCGCGTGGAATTTTTTCTAGTTATATTTTCTTTAGATTTAAACATCAAGCAGTTACATGCTTTAAAAATAATAAAAATTATAACTAATTACTTTATAAGAAAGTCTTAGGTTACAGGTCTGAAATAGTTAATAACAGTTATCTGCCATTTATTCATTATCTTACTAATAAAGGTTGTTGATATTTCACCGTTAAAGTATAACTGGCACACACACCCTGTCACTTACTTAATTGTTCAACGAAATACCAACGTCGCTTTTTGCGCCTTCGATACCACAGCGCTAAGTTACCAGAGATTTTAGCTGACTGATTTAGCCTATTGAAAACAAATAAACTAAAATTTATAGTTTATCTGACATAAAAGTGTACCTTACTCCGTTCATATTGAAGACCTATGGCTCAGGTGATATGAAGTTTCGAACTGACTAACAGTGAATAATTAACTAGTTGTGTTGCAATTGTTGTGCAATGCCAGAGGGACTTGTATATTACATGTATTAAAGTTAATTTCATCATTAGCCTCTTGATGTCGTTACCACTGGGCACAGGTCTTCCCCCTGGACGAATAAGGTGGAACATGACTACCACGCAAGCCGAGTCTGGAATAGTGGGTACTGACGACTGTCGATATCATATTTTTAAAGTGAGGAGTGAAAGTCCTCAAATGTTTAGTTAAAAATGTATAAGTTTAAACAAGTCGTTATTTTTCCTTATAGATATGTACAGCACAAGATTAAAGAGCAAAGCGACTTGCTTTGGAGTCTCATTACAGACTGGAACGCCTACATTTATATATCGGGTAACGCCAAAAACATGCCTGACAACGTGAAGGAGGCTTTTGTGGAAATATTCAATGAAACCGGAGGGTTGAGTGTCGAACAAGCCAAGGAAATGCTTCGAGGTCTGGAGAAGAATGGAAGGCTGCAAGTTGAAGCGTGGTAGAACAAAGTACTTATTCTTAAAAAATAATAGTGGTATTGATTTCAATAAATTTACTGTACTGTGTTTGAATCTGTGTTTTTTTTAATCACCCATGCCCCGTTGTCCATATTAATATTATAAACGCGAATATTATAAACGCGAAAAATTTTTTTTTGAAATAGTTTTGTGACGGGAAAAGGCCCAAAATAGTTTTTATCCTATATCTTCCTTTAAAGGGGAGAAAAGGGGGTGGTGATTTTATTTTTGTGATGGTGATTTGCATCCGCTAATGGCATAAGCAGACTTGCAACGCGACGCGTACCCTACGCAACGCGACCCGTGTTGAGTGAAATGACATTACTGTTTTCTATGATCAGAATCGCATCACATCGTGTCGTGGTATCGCTTGTTGATAAAGGTCTCGATTCTGACATGATTCTGTAAACCTAAACGGTGCACGGTGCACATCGGGGTGTTATGTCGCGTTTCAATAATATGTTTCTGCCTTTATAAAATCAATATATAAAAATCAATTGCTGTTCGTTAGTCTCGCTGAAACTCGAGAATGGCTGAACGGATTTATCTTATTTTGGTCTTGATATGTTCGTGGAGGTCTAGGGAAGGTTTAAAGGTGAGATAATATGGAAAAATTGCGAGGAAGATAGGAAAAACATCAATTTAATTCTCCCATATAAACTGTTCTATCTTCTTTCCTGTCAAACATTTGACGTTCGTCCCTTTTGGTATGATAAACTCGGGTCCGTCATTTCTTCCAAATTATTTTAACAGTAAAAAGTAGGCGGGTCAACTTATCTGATATAAAACTCCTATGAAAACCGAATGAAAGAAAAGTTTTTTGGTTTGGGATTAAAATAATAGGCACTAGTATATTCTTATTAAGAAAAATATTATTTTTATTAGAGTAGTCTGTATTCAGCTCGCGGAACCCGGAAGGCCCCACAGTTTGAGTCCGCCGGAGTCTCGCTTTCTTTCCGGTGGCTCTTTGTCCTCGCACGCGTACGCCACCAAGTATCTGCGAGTAATTATACAACAACTATCAAATAAAGATAAAAAATAATGACGTTGATGATGCACGTAGACATAGAGTTAGCAAAAACATTGACAACTAGTTTAATAAACACGTGCATTCCTGTATTATCGACCTATTTATAGATCATATAACTTTAATTAAGGAGCTCGATGGCGCAAGCGGATAGCGCGTTCGGCTGCTACTGTTAAAGTTAAGCAACTTTCGCAGTGGTCGGTAATTGAATGGGTGACCAAAAATTTACTATCTCGAGCTCCTGCGTGCTTCGGAAGGCACGTTAAGCCGTTCATCCCGGCTGCATCCGCATTCGTTAGCACCCACCAATCCGCTTGGGATCCTATTCCGTCCATAGGGAAGGCCTGTGCCCCAGCAGTGGGGACATTAATAGGCCGATGATGAACTTTAATTAAATGTATGTAGCCTCTCGATTGACTCGAATTAAAATAGCACTGAAAATTATATATTTATTATTTATATAAATAATAATAAAAAAATATTATCACAAGGTGGAAAAAGGCGAATTTGCAGTGATGCAAGGTGTGGTCAAATCTGTCTAATGTAATAATTTATACACAAGCCAAAGTAAATAATCGTTATAAGCCCGGAAAGCCTATATATTTTATAAGTATCAAGTTTACTGTTATAATTAATTATTAATTAACTGAATATAATGTTATTATAAGTTATGAAACTACCTGGACGGGTGCCAAGCTACTGTGAAAGTCGATGCCTGCACGGGAATCTCAGCAACTTTCTCACCTGAAACAGTGAAAATAAACAGAGATCAAATTATCGCATCTTTAAAGACAAACCGTTACTAAATGATTTTTTTAAAGTATTGAGTTCAAAATATTCTATTAAAAAAAAAACAGAACTTATCAGAATGAAAAAAAAACTGCATTTTTTATATTTATGCTTCTGAGTAAAATTTTCTATTTTCATTTAGTAACTGTTTGTCTTTAAAGGTGCATTATGTAGGATATTCTCCTGTGCTGTATTTTAATGGCAAGAGACGTTTCCTCACTGGGTCTTGAAAAATCGCTGAAAAAGCCTTTTTTGTATGACAGTCCACCAAAGATATAATAAAACTCATCCGACAAAGAAATGAATATTTCTGCAATATATTCTGTACTTTTCAAACATTATTCCTTATTATGTCCAGCTCGAAGGACCAATATTTTGGCTGCTCTGATACATAGAATTGTGAAAATGGTCTACTTGTGAAGATTATTATAACCAATTGCAAGTTGGAGAATAGGCCTGGCCTGACTGTAAAAAAAATCTCTGTCAATCAACCAAAACATTAAAAAGAAAAAGCGCGTCAAAGTTAGGAAGTGGGGTATCGTGACGTCACTTCAAATTAAAAATTGTACGAAGACGTGACGTCATTCGACATTTCAAATCAATATAATTATATCTTTAATGTTTAATTACGTGAATGAAGAAAAAAAAGTGTCCTGTACTTTTTGAAAATCTACCAGTAGGCCTAATCGCTAACTGCTTTCGACAGATGGAAGTGATAATCACCGAGCTATTTAGTGATCCATTACCGCTTTGTTATAACGCCACTAAGGTACTTATTCTGAAAAGCATCGATGGATATGCAATTTTCATTTGAGTTGTACACTCTAAATGTCAAAAAGTAAGCGAATAGGCAGGCTGATAGGCAAAGAAAAAAAACGAGCGAGCCTTACAGTAGTCGCGTATGATGTGTTACATTAGAAACCTCACCGTATATTAGTAAAAAAAGAAATAAAACCTACTATAAAAGGAATAAGCCATTTGAACATTATGTTCCAAAATCAAATAAAATAGCGCGCGCTTTCGTGACTTCCTGTTACATACTTCCGTCCCACTTCACGTAATCACTCACACAAATTGCACGAAATAGAGAGGAAAGATGTTACACATCAAAAAAAGTTGGTCATCATTCCTTTTCTCACTTACCTGTTTCTGTATCTCCGATGTCTATTATATGGTCCTCGCTCGCTGACGCCAGCAGACGCCCGTCGAAGCTGAATGAAAGTGTTCGCACCGGCCATTCCAACCTGACGGACAAGTTGACGAAGGTTTTATGTAATGCTGTCCCCGTATCATGAGCACCACAATTTACATTATATCGCATCTTACTGTGAAACTCCATAGTGATTTGACAATCAAGCGTAATAAAAACGTGCTACGTATCATATCGCGGTGGTCATGCTACGGGGGCTGGCACTTTACTTATTTAAACTTTATTGCCAAATATAAGCAAACGACGAACTTAATGCCATAGGCATTTTCTACCAGTCAACCAGTATGAGTGCTGGAGACAAATAGTATGGCGATAGGGCAAAGTTGCTAAAAATTTAATAAAATGAAAATTAACATAATAACAGCAATAAAATAATAATAATTAAATACTAATTGATGCACATACATAAAATACTCATATAAACATACATAAATATATATATATATATATATACATAACATACAATAAATCACACTACTATTATAATGGCGAAAGTTTGTGTGTATGTTTGTTACTTCTTCACGTCTAAACAGCTGCACCGATTTTAATAGAATTTGGTATGGAGTTAGCTTACACCCTGGATTAACACATAGGCTACGTTTTACTGTAGGAAAATATGCCTATAAACCGCGGGTAACACCGCGGGGCACAGCTAGTATAATATATATCGATGCACACTACAGGGAAAAATCACATAGTGAGGTAGTGTTCACGCTCAAAAACTCAAACTTATTGTCACAGTACAGTACTACGTATGCTTAGTGGTAGAGCATTCCACAGGCGTATGGCAGATGATAGTGAAAGATTTGAATCCAAAGCCAGAATGATTAACGGGAATTTGTAGTGTGAGATTTCTGTACGAGCGAAGATCACGTTGATTGGAAGTGCCCAGAAATAGAAAACTAGATTTCAGGTACTCTGGAGTCCATGGATCGTATAAAAGCTTGAAGAGCATGCAAAGTAATCTAAGGTTTCTTCTATTTCTTCTCATTTCGTTTCTTCTAAGGCACTTTATATGGCTGTTCATGTTTTCTTTTTGTATATATGAAAGCAGTCTCTCCTTTGCATTCCCAATAGAGCATGATAATAGCGGCGGAGCCCAAGCGGAGATTTTTGGATTTACTCGAGCTCGGCAGAATAACTTATGGGGTGCAATCTTGCTCCGTGTTAAATACTTCCACTGTGAGCGAATGCACACTTCTTTTATATATCGCAATATTTTGTCCATGATTTTGTATATTCTTTATGTTTGTTTATGATTTTGTTTTATGAAATATACACTTCTGGACACATCTTTTGGCCCACCTTGTATTTTCAGTTTCGTTTGGTCCTAGCTAAAATTTTATATTAGGTTGAGCAAAAAGTTTTTATGCAGTTTTGAACCTGGCACATTCACAATTTCATTCAATAGTCTTTTTTTGAATTTCGAACACAGAATTTAAAGAACAAAAGACAATTTGGAGTTGACTGTTTGTTGATATCAAACAATCGAATACTAAGAAAACTTGGTTTTATTGGTTTACTTGGATTTAATTCTTGAAAAAGTGATTGATATCTTTGGTTTTGCAACAAACATTACTTATTCTTAACATTAAGGTGAGGTTCTATCAATAATCTATGGATACTTCACCTGAAGTCGCCGCCCAGGCTGTGGCACTTATTCAGGCCGGACACAGCCAAAGAAACGTGAGTGCTCAACTTAATTTAAGTCGATCTGCGGTCCGAAATGTTTATCGGAGGTACCTAGAGACTGGCGGCTTTGTTCGTCGCCAAGGAAGGCCACGATCTCGGGTCACAACTGAAAAGCAGGATCGATTCATCGTGACGACCAGCTTGAGAAATCGTCACCTTACCTCCATTGAGATACAAAAACAAATTCGCGACTTCCACGGAGTATCTGTGAGCGCTCGAATTGTTCGGAGAAGGTTAAAGGAACGCGATATGGTACCACACAAGCCAGCTAATGGGCCCAAACTAACGCGAGCCCACCGAACAGCGCGCCTTCATTTCGCACGCAGTCATTTGAATTGGACACAGCAAGATTGGAGCCGTGTACTCTGTTCTGATGAGTCTAAAATTGTGTTACATGGCAATGATAGAAGGAAGAAGGTCTACCGACGTAAGGGAGAGCGTTTCGCACAATGCTGCTTTGAAGAGAAGGTTGCTAATGGCGGTGGCTCATGGACTGTCTGGGGCGGTATATCCGCGAGCGGAAAAACTCAACTTGAGGTTGTTACAGGACCACGGCTGCCAAACATTAAATGCTGAAAGGTACATTCGTGAGTGCTTAGAACCTCACGTGATACCATACGCGGACTATGTGGGCCGAAATTTCCTTTTTATGCATGATAATGCAAGAGCCCATGCGGCCAGCATCGTCAGGGAATATCTTCGGGATGTAACATCACAGTTATGGACTGGCCAGCCAGAAGCCCAGACATGAACCCCATTGAGCACATGTGGGACAAGCTAAAAAGACGTGTTAGGGCTCGTCAGCCAGTTCCCCAGACGATGCAGGAGTTGAAAACTGCCATAGAAGAGGAATGGGAGATGATCCCTCAAAATTTCATAGAGCGGTTGATAAACTCTATGCCTAATCGTATGAGAGCTGTGGTAGATGCCCATGGAGGCAACACGCGTTATTAAATTAAACCTTTATTTGATAAAACATGTTTTTTATTCAAAAATCAATTGCCTTTAACAAGACGCATATCCGACTTGTTAGGCGTAGCTCCATGTCGTATGGTATTCTAAATTCAAATTTAAAACAATACGATCGAAAAAGATGGTAAAATGTATCAGGTTTAAAACTGCATCAACAGTTTTTGTTCAATCTAGCAATCATATTTCGGTAGGGGCCATCGAAACCTAAACTCCAAGGTGGGCCAATAGATGTGTCCAGAAGTGTATTAGATTTTCCCTTTTGGCTGTCAGGGTTGTTTTTCTTTAATAATATAGAAAAATATATTATAAACCCGAAATAGTCACGGAAACCCACCATACCTGAGCCCTCTTTGTAGTGACGAACGTATAGGGCAACAAAAAACAAATTTCAACAAACGGTCACGACCTTTGCTCGTGTCCAAATCGTCATTCTTTTAAATAGAAGGTACTGGATGGTTCAAGTTATGTTTCTGACGAAGGAAAAAATATCGTACTGCTGGTTCGCATGGTGTGGGGGTGGCCGCAGGAAGGGGTAGAATATAGGAAAAACAAATAGTCGAGCGCGTCAGACATTGAAAAGGGATGTTACGTGAACCCTCCAGTACCTTCTATTCAAAAGATAATATATAACTTCATTTTTTTTAATTGGTACACTTAATTGTTTCTTTTACTCAATAAAACATATTATTAAATGGTATGTACAAAAAAACAGAATCGATGGAGTCGGCTTTTTGTTATTAACTCCTTGTGACCTAGATCATCATCGTCATTATTATAAAGATAGATTGAGATCAATAAAAAAAAGAAAAGCACAATCAAAGAAAATGCTAAGTAAATATTAAAAATAACCCACCTGGAGAATACCCTCAGGCAAGCAAGCTCGTTGACATCCCACAGAGACACTAAGGCGTCAGCTGATCCGGTGGCGAAGTAACGCCCGGTTGGGTCATGCTCTATACAGATGCAGGTGCCCGGGTGAGCTTTCAATACCGTTTGCAGTTCTAATGTGGGATATCTGAGTGAACAATTTATACAATATCAGTTTTAAAAAAATGGATTGTTGTGCTTTACACAGAGTGACCGGGAACTGAGTGTTTCAAACTTGCAGTGTGTCTTTAAACTTGCAGCCGGCCTCAAAATACTTTTTGATATTAGCCATAAGGATAACGATAAAATTCATAAAATAAAGATTTCTACCGATCCAAGGATAACCTAAAATACTTTTTGATATTCGCCATAAGGATAACGATAAAATTCCTGAAATAAAGATTTCTACCAATCCAAGGATAAACTAAGTGACCCGTATCTTTATATCCTTGATAGCTACAGGGTTCAGCTTTCGTAGGAATTTCACTCATGCGGACACGTACGAACGATCCCGATATTCCAAGTACTATGGGAGCGCGCAGACTGGGTGTGAGTCAATCGTGCGTATACGTACGTGTAGTTCAGACGTCCGAAAACAATCCACCTTGTTGGGATTTTAAAACACATTCGTACGTTTTAACATAAGAAATGGATGTAGGTGGGACCAAAGTCATTCCAATTATTACTAACGTGACTTTCAGTGCAAGGCATGGCGAGGAATATCCGAAGAAGTGGAAACGTCTACGATAGCGACGACGCCACCGCAGTCTTCAAGTTATAAGAGAATTGTCGTGAAGATACAGATGTTAGCAATTACAACATTTATTGTTATTTATGAATATAGAACAGTATTTCAAATATGATGACACAGTTAAAACGAAACGAAATCTGAGTATCGTAGACAATATTCGAACATCTGTGGACGGGCTAATCTGTGGACGATATAATCTGAGATGACGGCTGGAGAAAAGTGCGTAATAGTTGAAAAAGCGAAAAGATAAGGGATAAAGTATTTTGTAATGTGAATTGTACAGTTATAGTAAAAGAAAATAAAAGTAAGAACCCTTGAGAGTTCTTTGATTTTTTATAAATTCAGAAGTGGGATGAACCTAGGGAAGTTAACTGGTGAGTTGTTGTTAAGTACCTATGAGTTGAAAATTGCGTTACTATGAAATGAGTCAAAATAAAAGTTTTACTCTTGTTAAAACACTGAGAAAACATAGAAAACTAAAATGTTTGTGTCAGAAACTCATGGGATATTACTTGCATTGCATTTGTATGAATGAAATCAGGTTACTATGGTTCAATTCAAAATATGCATAAGCAAAGCAATAAAATTGTAGTTTATTACATTTAATGTATATTGATTCAATTAATAAAACTACTTACAGGAAGTGATAAGTAAAAGTGTTCAGAATATGTTGAATTGAAGTATTGATTAGCTATTTACATGAAAAAAAGCTTACAATTATTTGGAATTTATAAAGTTAATATGTAAGATCTATTACTTTTGAAAAAGGGGGAAATTCATTGCAAATATCTATATATATTTTTTTCTAACTGATTAAAACAGTCATTATCTCTTTGTATTTCACAATTATAGATATTATTAACTTGTTGTAAAGTTGCTTACCATTACAAACAAAGTTAGGTTCAGTAAAGTAAAGTAAGGGCACATTGATTAAAATTTTAATTACTATTACTTTTTGTAAAAAGAAACCTTGTTTTATTTTGACTCAGTCTATAATTATTTCTTGTTGTAAATTTCTTAATTAACTGACTGTGCAAAGTGATACTTGTGAAGTAGTTCGAGTAGAATAAACTAATGCCTAATTCACTTGTCCAACCTTTATTGTATTTGAGAAGGATTATAATATTATGTTTAGATAGTCATTAAACTTTTTTTTTTCTTTTCTTTTCTGTAAAGCATCTATTTATAGATGCACTAATGTGTAAACATGAACACATAAATGTATATATATTTTATAAACATATACAGAGAGCCAGTATCCATACAGACCAGAGGTTAAGCAAAGATTTAGTGCTAATTATTATTAATTAATTTTCTACTAATAAAAGTCAAGAAGTTGTTTTATTTATTTTAATTATTCTTTGGATTATTGCTATTCTACTGAATCTCGTCATTGTATCTGTTACTCAGTGTGCATAATATAAAGTAGTCATTGACTCCTACTGACATCATATCTATTTCTATCTTGTAGAAATGTCAGAACCTGCTACACCCCCTATGAGGTGTGAAAGAGATGATGAATTAACTTTGAAAAACAAAAAGAGAAATAGGAAAAGCCGACAATATGAAACGTCTACTGGTGCATAGTCACAACGTCGTGGTCGTAGTCGCATTAAGGAGGCTAAAAGAGTGCGGTCTGTTAGTAGAAGTTCTTCCCCTTCATCTATTCGACGTACACAAGCTAAGAGAGGAAAAAAATATGTTTCTCACTCAGATAATTCTTCAGTATCTAAATACTGTAGCAAACGAAAGCAGAATAAGGGATATAAAAGGAAATTATCAAGATATCATTCTAGTGATAGTACTTCTTCATCATCTAGTATACCCTCTCATCAATCAAAGACAATGTTTAAACACCAAGAACATTCTAAATCATCTCAATTTGTAAATCGATACAGTGAGTTTGAAAAAGAAAACCAATTCTCAGAAAATATACTTAGCCGTCTGGTGGTGGCATTGGAAGGGAAAAATCATACACCACAGGGTCATGGATCGCAAGGTGTCATTCCAGAATTTGATCCACAAGCCAAGGCAAAGACAATGAAAGATTGGCTTTCCAAAATAAATGAGTCAGCTTCTGTTTATGGTTGGTCGGAGAGGCAAACTATTTATTATGCTCTACCAACCGGGGTAGAGCATAATAAATAGTTTGCCTCTCCGATCTCCGATCAGGCCTAGCAAAAAAATGGTATGATGGGTTAACGAGTGTGAAGTTTTCATGGAGTGAATGGCAAAGCAAGCTTTTAAAAGCTTTTCCATGTGAAGAAAACTATGGAGATTTACTAGTAGAAATGCTGGCCCGAAAGAGTAGGAGGAACGAGTCGTTGGAGGAATATTATTATGATAAAATAAGATTGATTAATCGTTGCGATATAACTGGCTCAAAAGCAGTAGATTGCTTAACACATGGAATATTTGACAACAATATCCGTATGAATGGTCAAGGTTCGTGCTTTACAGATCCAGAGGATGTGTTGACTTACTTCCGTAGAGTATCAATGAGAAAGGATGAAGCTCCTAGAAAAATATTTGGTTTTAGCGATTCAACTGCTCAGGGTACTGGAAGAAGAACACAAATCCAAGTAATAGAAAACTCATCAAATAAACGTGAATTAAAATGCTTTAACTGTGGTGAGTCTGGACATTTCTGGCAAAACTGTCGTAAAGATCTAGTAAAATGTGGCAAATGTAAGCGAATTGGGCATTCAACTTTGAAATGTAATGAAGGGCTGTTTGGGACAGCTCAACAAAAATCTACCCATGATATGCACTCAGGAAAGAAGAACATACTAGTTATACATTATGGGCAAGGAGTCTGCGATAAATATTACAAGACTATCAAAATAAATGGAAATCCATCAAAAGCTTTCGTTGATTTTGGGAGTGAATGCACATTGATTAGTGACAAGTTTCAATTGCCTAAATCTGGCCTTGTTGACGATGAACTCCCTACATTGAGAGGATTTGGAAATGGCACAATAAAACCTAGTGCGAAAGTGCGTGTATGTGTTCAAGTAGATAAGAGTGAATGAAATCGTTGAGGCCTATGTGGTTCCTAAGTACCTGCTACCGGATGATACGGTAATGCTGATAGGACAAAATCTAACTGAATTACCTGAAATCAGAGTATATAAGACTGACACAGATCTAGTGTTATATCGGGCAGTCAGTAAGGCTATTCCAGTCACAATAAATAACAATACTGACATTAAAAACATATCAACGGTTTCTGTACGGGCGTCGTTAGATGAGCCGGTTGCATACCTTCATATTTCTTCGGAAGCGTGTCTAAAACCAGGGACTGAGTATTTAATTTTACCAGGAATGTATACTTTTAAAAACGGGCTTGCTAATATTGTTGTTTTAAGTCTTACAACCGATGTCATTAAGTGTGTTGAAGGACAAGTCATTGCAAGAGGTGTATATGTATCGGAATATAAGTTTAAAGACAAACCAGTCTGTGAAACCAGTAATGAGGGAACTGTATTTAATGTTTGTCGTATTGTGGAAAGTGGTACTAACGAAGTTGAGAATATAAGTTTATATTGTATAAATATGAATAAAGATCTAAATGTGACCATTAAAGATTAATTACACAAACTTCTGAATGAGTATCGGAACTCTTTTGCTTTTGCGACTGCTGAGCTACGTAAAACTACAGTGACCGAAATGCACATCAATTTAAAGGACACCACACCTGTTTCGTATCGACCATACCGTTTGTCGGTATCTGAGAGACAGAAGGTTAAGGATGTCATTGATGATCTTTTATCCAACAACATTATCACAGAATCCGAATCAGATTATGCTAGTCCTATTATTATTGTTCCCAAGAAAGATGGAGAAATAAGATTATGCGTAGATTACAGGGCGCTCAATAAAAAGACAATTAAAGATAAATACCCTATGCCGTTGATTGAAGATCAAATTGATAGTTTAAGTGGGCAACGATATTTTACGTGTCTTGACTTATCATCAGGGTATCATCAAATTCCTGTTGCACAAGATTCGAAACGGTTTACAGCCTTTGTAACACCGGATGGCCATTATGAATATAATAGAATGCCATTCGGTCTATGCAATGCGCCAGCTGTTTTCCAGAGGCTTATCCACAAAGTGTTAAATCGATCTAAAATACCGGGCGTCATGGCGTACATGGATCATATAATTATTGCCTCAAAAACTGTATCCGACGGTATGCGAAAATTGAATCTTGTATTAAAGTCCCTACAAGAAGCGAATCTTACGCTTAAATTAAATAAATGTAATTTTTTCCAAGAACAGATTGAGTACTTGGGCTATGAGATAGATGCTAATGGCATTAAACCTGGATCAAGGAAGACTGAAGCTGTTGCTACTTTTAAAACTCCCGAAAACGCTCACGAGGTTCGCCAGTTCATAGGTCTAGCGAGTTTTTTTCGTCGTTTTGTCCAAAATTTTGCTACCATAGCTAAGCCTCTCACTCTCCTTACTAAAGCCAATGAGAAATGGATTTGGGGTCCATCACAAGAGGAAGCATTTTGTAAAATAAAAGAGACTTTGGTCTCGCGTCCGGTGTTAGCCATATACAATCCTACATACTTAACCGAGCTTCATACTGATGCAAGTCAGGTTGGTATAGGTGGAATATTGTTGCAACGCAAAGACCAGACATTACCTTTGCGTGCTGTAGCATATTTCAGCAGGCAGACTACCACCGAAGAACAACATTTTCATTCTTTCGAACTAGAAACTTTGGCAGTAGTGATGTCTCTGAATAGATTTCGAAATTATCTTATTGGAATTGAATTTAAAATAGCTACAGATTGTAATGCCGTTAGAATGACATGGATTAAACGTGATTTAGTGCCAAGAATCGCAAGGTGGTGGCTTCTAGCCCAGGAATTTAATTTTACAATTGATTATAGACCCGGTGCACAGATGGCACATGCCGACGCTCTAAGCCGAAATTCAACTGCTTTCCAAAACCAAAATAAGCTTTTAGCGTATGACATATTAAAGGTGACAACCAAACAAGTACCAGAAAACGTACAACTTTCGGATCCACAACTGGTACTTATCAAGAGTGTGCTAGACAGCAACTGTTCGGAGGCAAAAGACATACGGAATAATTATGTTGTAAAAGATGGCAAGATTTACAAGAAAATGGATGAGGCACTGAAATGGGTAGTACCGCAAGATGCTCGGTGGAGAATTTGTCATACAGCTCATGATGAATGTGGCCACATGTCTTTTGAGAAAACTTTAGACAAGATCAAACAAACTTATTGGTTTCCTCATATGTCAGCATTTATAAAAAAAATATGTTCGAGCATGCATTCGCTGTGCTTATGCCAAACAACCTTCTGGCAGAAAAGAGGGGCATCTTCACCCGATTCCGAAAGTGCCTATTCCTTTTCACTGTGTACATATAGATCATTTAGGTCCATTTGTGAAAAGCAACAAAGGGAATACATATATACTCGGCATTAGCGATGGTTTTACTAAGTTTATAATATTGAAAGCAGTTCGAAATACTAAGACCAAAACTACTATAACAGTATTAAAAGATGTGTTTGGTATATTTGGCGTACCCAAACTACTGATTTCTGACCGTGGAACAAGTTTCACTTCAGGTGAATTTGAAGACTTCGCACGACAACTGGAGGTCAAACATATAAAAAAATGCTGTAGCTATGCCAAGGGCTAATGGGCAAATAGAACGGTACAATCGGACTATTCTAAGCTCCCTAACTGCACTGACACATGGAGATAATGATAAAGATTGGGACAATCATATCAACACCGTACAATGGAGCTTAAATAACACACTCAACAAAGGTATTGACAAAACTCCGGCAGAAGTAGTTTTCGGAAAAAGAACGGTTGGTTTGCCGGAAATTCATCTGTACGATGTCGCTAATGAGAAACAGAATAATGAAGAAGCTATGGTTGAAATAAGAGAGCAAGTAAGCCGCACCGTTGAGGAAAAACAGGCAGATATAGAGAAAAGATTCAACAAGAAAAGGTGTGCAGCTAAAGAATACAGTGAAGGGGACCTAGTTTTAGTTCAGAAACAGGTACACAATCCCGATGACAGCAACAAACTACTTCCACGTTACAGTGGCCCTTTTAAAATTTCAAAGATATTAGGACATGACAGGTATGAGGTTACTAGTATTACTGGGTATGGGAATTCAAAGCGCAAATACACTAATGTTTACTCTGCCGATAAAATTAAACCTTGGATAACATTCTCTAATCCTGAAGAAGAAGAAGATAGCGAATTAGACAAAAATGATTAAATAACTTTTGTAATTGAAAAATATTGAAACTTAAGATTAAAATAGCATTTAAATTGTGATATGTATGAAAGTTTGATTTAACATGACCTAATGTTTAACAAAATAAAAAAGTAATAATTATTCTTAATAAAATTGGTTTTATTCAAATTGACACCCACATGTCCAATTTTACAAACTGTATCCTTATATCATCTGAACAGTTATTAACAAATCTTTGAATTACGCTTGCAATAAATTTCAATAGACAAACTTTCTGCTGTTTTCTGTTTTTTCTGTTGTAGGTATTCAATATGGCACAACTAGTCAATGGAATAACTGACCCTGGAGTGAGAGTGCTGCCAGTGGCGGTTAATGCTAAATCTGAAAGCTAATTCAGCGTATTGTCGTTCGCTGTTAGATACGTGAATCGCAGATCCAGGGGTGAGCGTACTGCCTGTGACTGCACATTAAACAACATCTGATCGAGCAGACCCTGGAGTGAGCGTACTGCCAGTGGCTGCCGATCGAATACAGATATTGTAACATGCGTTTTACCAATGCTTGAATTGTAGACCCTGGAGTGAGCGTACTGCCACTGGGTACTAATCAAATACAGAATGCAGAACCTGCGTGCTGCCAATGCTTGAATTGCAGACCCTGGAGTGAGCGTACTGCTAGTGGCTGTCGATCAAATACAGAAATCGAAACGACTGTCGTAGTCGGAGATGATTAGAAAATGGGGAAATTATCTTGTGAGGATGGCCGGAACATGTGAAGAAATTTAATCATGATAATTCACGGATTTGACTGGATGATTTGTAAACATCTATCTAAGAACAGCAGCAGCGTATGCCTGAGGTCAGGCATGGAGTCAGAATGGCCGAATGTTAGCAATTACAACATTTATTGTTATTTATGAATATAGAACAGTATTTCAAATATGATGACACAGTTAAAACGAAACGAAATCTGAGTATCGTAGACAATATTCGAACATCTGTGGACGGGCTAATCTGTGGACGATATAATCTGAGATGACGGCTGGAGAAAAGTGCGTAATAGTTGAAAAAGCGAAAAGATAAGGGATAAAGTATTTTGTAATGTGAATTGTACAGTTATAGTAAAAGAAAATAAAAGTAAGAACCCTTGAGAGTTATTTGATTTTTAATACAGATTATACATCGCGCTCCAACCAAAGCAGACTTCACAAAACCGATATCACTAGAACACTGCTCATTTGACTAATAAAAACGTCTACAGTGTGCGCACTCAATTGTGGTCCTACCCACGCGTACGTATACTGTACGATACGAATTCGTGCCCAAAGTGCGCGCGGCCTAAGACGTTGCTTCGTACCAAATTTCAAGATTTTGAGTTCACGTTAAATACCCTGTAGTTTTTGATGCCCTTGCGAGTTTCGAAATATTTGCGGCATAAACGGCCTGTATCTTTTGATTGCGTTGGCTTAGAAGTTTGATTTTTTCACATCTCCAAGGGACAACCCCTCCACGCGTTCCAAGAGAAAAAGGGTCTTGACAGACGGACGGACGGACAATAAAGTGAACCTATAAGGGTTCCGTTTTTTTCCTTTGGAGGTACGGAACCCTAAAACATACTAGCACCTAACTGTTGTTTACAAAATATGTACTTTTTTTCATGTAGGTACTTACGTCAGTATATGAACACATCCCAAGCCATTTGTCAAGTAAAATAAATCCGAAGAAAGATTCCATGATATTTCATTAACTTCAAAATTGAACTGTTCTTCTGTAACCTGAAAATAAACTTGGATGAATTTTCATTCATATGAAAGCAGTTCAGTAGTTAAGATGGTTGCATTAATGTTATGGGTAAGTAACGACAAAAAAGTTTTATCTTTTAAGAATATTAATAGTTTTTTATGCAACTGTTGTATAATGAGGGGTATTAAAACACGAATGTAGGTTTATCACACGAGGCGAAGCGGAGTGTGATAATACACTCGGCGTCAAAAAAATCGCACCTCCGCGAAATTAACTTTCAAGCGTTATTAACCCTTAACACGCGTAAGTACCCCCACCAATATTGATGTCATTTGAAAGTAAAGGAGACTAAAAAAAACATTTTCATTTGCAACAGAGATTATGGCTGGACTAGGTATACTTACTACTTTATAAGTCTTCGTGTCTATAAATGAGACTAAATCCTCTTTATTTCCCACAGCAATTGTGCTTCCATTAGGGGACCAGGCTATATTAATGTTTTCCCCTTTTGTGGCAATTGTAGCTGCACATTTGTGTGATCTGTAAATTAATAAATGCACACTTAATTTTAAAGATCTATTGCAGTGGATATGACAGTGACTGTCAAGTGGTGACTCACAATATAAAATTATCACAATCACTCTGTAAATTGTGAGTTCTGTACCATGCAATGTTGTTAAAATGTTATTAATACACCACGTGCCAACGATATTTAATACTCTAGATACAAAAACACGAACAAAACCGTGGCCGAAACCTGTCCAAAAGGTACATTGGCCGATCCGTGGAGCTCCGTGGGATGATCGCGTAGTCAAAAACGATAAAAGGCTTATTTAAACATTCAAAATCACCTTTAATGCATAGTATCATAGATCATGCGACAACTAGTTACAACAGTTCTTATTGCTATAGACGGAAGAATATAGACTTTATTTCTTTGAATCTACGCGTAATTCTGAATGCGCTGATGGCAATATAGTAGGTACGGCGCGCGAAGAAAAGAGACTAATAACCACTTGTCAGTCCGCAATTGTCCGGGACCGCCCATGCATTTGAATAGCACAAATATTTCCTATTAAATCAGGTTCTAGTAAGTATAAGAACAAAAATTTCAAATGCGTTAAACTAACAAACATTGGTAACAATAGGCTAATTTCAAATATTCGCTGGATGCAAAGTAGGAGGCGGGAGAACCACAAATCTATCGCAGCGCGCACCGTGGCCAAAAACGGAACTTTCGGCAGACCAACTGTCACTTTTTACTTGCAAAATTTACTTAATTTTGTTATGCATTGCCTCGCATTTTAAGTAAAAATAAATAAACATGCGTCACGAAACCGGCTGCATAGTTAACTGCAAGAACAATGGCAAAACAGTGGTAACTTGCTTACTTCTAGTGAAGTCAGCCACAAGAAAGTCCATGTGTACTACCAAAAACTTATTTAATATGCCATTTTAGATGGGAAATCTACACTATTGATTTACATGATTGAATAGAAGATATATATTTAGGATATTTCATTGAAATTACTTGTTTGTTAACTTAATTTAAAAATCATTTATTTTACATTTTAAAGTCTGTAGTAATTGTAACCACTATTTTTTACCCTGTCATTGAGCACCCAGCAAATAGATTCATAATATAATTAGATTACCTTGTATCCCAGATTCTGACAGATTTGTCCCCACTTGCAGTACTGAGAAGATCTGGATGTGAAGCATGCCAACACAGTTGGTCCACAGAGCCTGTATGGCCACGAAATAAGAAGTCTTGACTCTATAAAATTTGACAAAACCAAATATAATTATATATACTTTGCTAGAGCAACAATATTAAATAACCTAGATACAACAACATGAACAAAATCGTGGCCGAAACCTGTCCAAAAGTTACATTAGGCAATCCTCAGGAACTCCGTAAGATGATTGCATAATTAAAATCAATATAAGGTATTATTTAAACATTGAAAGTCACTTTTAATGCATACTGTATAAGGTCTAAATTAAAATGCATGTGTCAAAGAGTAATGACAGTTTAAATTCAAGCTTATAAAATTTTATGACTTATTGCTGTGTGCAGAAGAATATAGACCCTATTTCTTTGACTATTGCGCGAGAAAAAGAAAAGGCAATATTACCGACCATACTTTCAATATCACAAATATTTTGTATTAAATCAGTTTATAGTAAGTATTAGAACAAAGTTTTCTTTAAATGTGTTAAATTAACAAACATTGATTAGATACCTGTCGAAAACATGACAATTTACATACTATATAACGGTCAACGCAGGGAATCAAGTAGTATTAGTGTGTACAATGTAAGAATACATACTAGCTACCTTGTGCTGTGGATCAATTCTCAGGTATCTGGTGGCACAGGTACATAAAAATTTTATGTCTTTACTTACACTGTGAAGACTAGGGTAGTTGATAATATTGTATACAATTTGAAATTATTAGTGCCAGACACATTCTCTCAGCAGTATTTATTGCAGTAGGCACATATGTCAAAAGCAAAATAACAAACTTACAATCTGAGATATTTTTCTATGATTGTTTGGGAGCAATAATTATTAATATTTTGTAAGCTGTCTACCAATCGTAGTGGAAAAATTCCACAAGCTTATTTAAAATATCACTGTGGGTAATAAGAGCATGCTTATGTGGGTGAAAGCAATAAAGTGCCGTGTTATAGTGTAAAGGAAGCCTTTAACAATAATTAAATATTATAGTTTCTTGTTATTTAATTATCAAAATAATTGTAGAAAATATGTCAGGTTTTGATGTTAATGCCCTTGTGCAAGCATTCATCTAGTGCCCTGTAGTAAAAAAAAATGGTGTCGAGTGACGCTCGGCTACCCCTGATATGTGATAATGCACCATACCATAGGTAAAGTCTCCTCTGATTTATATTATTATATTTTTACCGTAAATATTAATTACGGTAAAAATATAAATTATGGTCCCTCTATATACGGGCCAGGGCAGGGGGAGGTAATTCCAGCCCCCCACCCCCCGCGTAAGTTTGAGATATATATGGTTAAAATTTTGAGATTAAGACTGTATTAGTAGACATTATTTAGGTATCGGAAGGGAGGTGAAAGGGGAGGAATCTCCCTACAACTCCCCTTGCGCACTTTTAAAAGAACGTCAAGCTTTTAGCTACAAAATTACGGTCAGCTTACTGGACGGGCGATAATCTAGTAGCCCCGTGGCATACTGGCTCGGCTCGCGCGTTTTGGTTACAACACTAACCTAACCTATCTTTATAGTAATGTTAACTCCTGGTCCCAAGAAGAAGTTTATAATAAGTTATGTAGATATAATAAGGATAGTACTAACTTACCAGTCTATGTCTATCTAAAGTAAATATAGCTACATTCTTGTCGTAAGAACCCGAAGCAAGCCTCTTGCCGTCACAAGACCAACCTACTGAATGCACTTTAGAGCTATGAGCTATATATTCTCTAAAACTGTTGTGTGATAAAAAATAATTGCGCAGATCTGCTAAATCTTCTATCGCCGCCTGCTTTGGTTCCTTCATATTTTCAGAGAAATATTATTTTGAAAACAACAAGCATAGAGAAAAGTAATAAACAACAAGTGCACCAAGTGAAAGTGAAGTGACCACAGATTACTATTTAAGTAGGAAGTGACCAGAAACGTTATTTTTTTTTAATTTATTTAAAGCATTGGCTTCCAGGGCCATTAGCTTAAACATAACTTGCTTAGTGAAAATAAGATACGAACAACAGGAAATTACAAAAATAAAACGAGGAAATCTTACATAATCAACTAATTACTTAAAAATAACTTAATATAAAATAAAACTTAAAGAAACAGAATTTTAAACATATTCATAACAATCACAAGGGACCAAATGTATTAATGAAAAAATAATAAATAATGCTATACAATTCTCTAAATCTTAACTAATGTTTAACATTTTGAGGAAAATCATTTATCTCTATCAAATCTTTACAAGAACATATAAAAAGAAGTCGTTGAATATTAAAATACTTGCAATCAAAGAATAGATGTTGAAGATCACAGTTTGGATGTTTACAATATTTACAAATTGAATTAACGCTCAGTTTAAGGCGATAAAGATGACATGGAAATTTACAGTGACCTATTCTTAATCTACATAAACTAGTTATAAAATTTCTACTTATAAAAGGTGGTTTTTCAAACCAAGTTTTGATACTGGGCACAGGGACAATTTCAGCATGCCACCTGCCTTTCTCTAGCCGTGAAATACTTACATCTAATGACCATCGTTGAATCACATTGTGTTTTAAACAAGTAACTAAGTCCGAATGAAGCACCTTGTAGTCCTCGATAGTAGAAAAATTCGGAGTATACCGTGCGAGTCCAGCATATATACCTTTTCTCTTTGGAGCAGAGCTGCCAGATCAAAAATCCGATTGAGCGCTAAAATGATATAAAAAGCGCTAGATTTCAAGAAAACCGCACTTTAAAAAAGCGCTAGATTACGCGCTAAATTAGTTTCAGTTTTTAATCAGAAAAAACAGGCAAGAATCAACCAAAACGTCAAAATTTCGTCAAAGTTATGTTAATCTAAAATCAAAAATTATCTTCCATAGCTTATATAGGGCCTGCTTCATTCCGACCATTCATGTATTCTTTGTCTTACAATATTTTTCATATGTCCCAATCCTAATCTGTCGCAGAATGTCTAACTAAATGATTTCTTTTAACTTCCACTAAAATTTAAATATGATTTAATGAAAACGAAACCATGACCTAATAATGGCAGAAATATTACTCCTTATTCGTCGTGTAGTGTTATGACGCTTCTGAGATAATATCGGTTTCATACATTTAGTAGTACGGTTAGAGTGAGAACGAGTCGACACATCGCGACACATAAGTATAGTTTTAACCGTACTAAATGTATGAAACCAATTCCTCTGACGCGACACAACACAAGCCGACAGATAAGTGTACTTCTGCCATAAAAAAATAATAGAGGGGCTACCCGAGGCCATAAATGATTAGGTGGTTTTCCAATTACAGAGCATAATGCGACTCAGTGGCACACAATGCCGAATTATGCTGCTGCTTAATTGGAACGTGAATTAGTTTTCAAATCCTTTTTAAGTCGGTTAACAATAAAGTATCAGGGTTAGTTCATTTAACTTTAATTAGTACCTACTTCCATGTAAAAAGTGTTAATATTTCTACTGCAAACTTATCGTGGTCCGACTTGTAGTCCTTATACGTATTATTGGTCCATGCTAAAGTGATCCAGGATTCGACGGCAGGGACTTAAGTCCTATGCACTATGCATAGGGTTACAGCGTGCTAGGAGTAGGCTACAAATAATGGTAGCTTACCATCATACAATCTGTCGGGAGAAAACTTTTTACTCTTTCTTTGGGTGGCCTTATGCTTGTAAACCAACCTTATTAAGAATAAGGCTACAGAGAAACTAAACTACTTCTATGCTAAGGTTCAATGTCTACGTTACAATCAATACATCCACATTCAACACCTTCGATTCACTTTGAACCGAATCTATTTTGCGGGTGCTTGGCTTGAAAAGATACATCTTTTCAAGCCAAGCACCCACAAAATATAAAAAAAAATCACCATGGTTGCTTTCCAATTACAGAGCATAATGCGACTCAGTGCCGCACAATGCCGAATTATGCTGATACTTAAATGGAACGTGAATTAGTTTTCAAATGCACCAGCAGAGTGCGTCAAGTTCAGCGTTGAAAAAAAAGTCAATGTTTGTACCTTCATCCATATCTATATTTAATTTTTAACACAGTTTGAATTTTTGAATATTTAAAAAAAAACTATGATGAAACGAAACTTTTAATAATTTTTCAACAATAAATAATATTACTAACGATAACATATAAATAAAACATTTCGATCAATGCAACTTAAAGAAAAAACACTTGTTAATTTTCTGTCTCTGAGTTGGTACAATCGCACGCATCACACGAAAGCATTACTTTTGAGAGTGCTCAATTGTGCGTAGCGTTGCTGTAGTTGCAACACTCAACGTTAAGCATTATGCCGCATAATGAAATCAGAAATCAATATATCTTTATTCAAATTGGATGTATAGTACAACACTTTTGAATCGTCCAAACATTTTATGCGCTATAATGCTGTAATTGGAAAGCTACCATTAACAGTCAATCACAGACATACATTATATAAAACCTATTTTGAAGTATATAGACAAACAAAACTATCATTTAAAAGAATTTGGTCCTTGTTACCTGTCAAAAACGGTAAGCGCAGTTTAGCAAAGAAATCAAAATGCTCGTTAAAATTTGTAGCACTAATATTTTACGAAGGGCGCTTCCTTCTGCTATTATGCCATCGCGTAAATTTGCACAAGTCGGTTTGGTGATGTCTACTCCACCGAGGTATCCCTGTTCCACAATGGTAAGTTTCATAAGTTAGGATAAATAATCGTGATTACCCGAATGATTACATATTAGGCAGTATTAGGTATCAAGATGAATGATTGGTCTCGCTTCGCTCGACCTAAACCAATCGTTTATCTATGTTAGATGGTACCTATCGACAACGATGTTCAAATACCTCCTAACAAAAAACTAAATTTTACAGATGAAAAAAACCGTTTCATTTTCAATAACAACTATAGCAAACCGCACGGCCACCCGCCATTTGCCAAAGGGCCTCTCGCAGTAAATTATCGGCACATTACCGTTGCTAACCGCCACATATAATATGGGGCTCTTCCAAGTCGTGAGTGAATCGGTTTCTTCTGGGCAAGCGCGTCCCACCTTAGGCTGCTACGTCGCTCTTCATCAGGCGCGTGGCCGTCAAGCGTAAGCCTAAATAACGTAAAAAAAACCTAGCAACGGTAGCTGTTGGCGCAGTGTAATAATTGCTACCCTACCTAGGAGTCACGCCCACCCTTTCGACAGGGCGGCCCATAAAATTGGGTAGTGTAAATACCGTTTTAGGAGGTAATTGTATCAGCAGCAATATGAAGTCAGAATTTTGAAGTTATATATATAACTAGCGGACCCGACAGACGTTGTCCTGTCTACACGTCTTTGTGAATCTAAACCATTCTCAGATCCCCTTGAACACACACAAAAAATTTCATCAAAATCGGTCCAGTCGTTTAAGAGAAGTTCAGTGACATACACACTCACAGAAGAATTATATATATAAAGATTTGAGGCGTCCATTTTCATAAAATCGCTTAGGAGTGTTTGCTAGTCGACATAAAATTGAATTCTAACACAAATGACATAGATAACTAATTTTGACCCCGAGTGTCAGTTAGGAGATATTTGAACATCGTCGTCGCTATATAGGTATATCGATCATCTTTATAAAGCGCCGTACCACACATAAATTCGGAAAAAGATCGTCATCGTACAACTCTAGCCGTTCAGTATTCTTTGTACGAAACTCCCTACTAAAACGCACACCAATCGGAATAGTAATACGTAATCGCGTCGCCTCAGGACAAACTCCTGAATTGCGATGCGATGCTTGGTCAACTCTGCGTAGCCTAGCTTACGCCTCTGCGTGCGAGCGTGAGGTATTTGAAAACCTTCGGCGGTCAGAAATAACAAAATAAAATCGAAAGCGCTAGCGTTTTCCATAGCATTTCCGTTAGGCGAATGGCCCCCTGGTGCCGCCTAGTCGTTAACAAGCGGTTTTCGAGTCGTAAGCGCGGCGTCGCCTAGTCGTAGCCGAGACGACGATTGGAGCTGTTTATCAGCTTAAGTTACATGCTTAAATAAGATTTGGTGGACGCCTGTTTAAAGACGGCAAACCAAAAGGAGAGTCGATCCGCTTCCGGGTTGATATGCGTGTTACGTGAACTTTAGACTGTTTGTTGCCCATAGCATGAATTATATCGGTTTAGCATCCACTCATCTGAACTGGAGCCGTATAGTTAGTTACACTTACGTACGATTCATTTTAACTGTATATTCAAAGGAAAAACATTGAATGACTAGATCTTAGGACTATACCACTCGTTAGGCAGTGTAAGCAATTTTTATTTTACTTTGTTCACAGGAAAAGATCATCCATAGCATGTTTATGATGTTTATATGGTTAGCACCAGTTGGGTACGGCATGACACAGCTCAAGGTGTGGCGTCGTCAGTACTTGGAGTAAAAAATAAAGAAAAAAACTGTTATTTAGATTTGTTTTTGTTCAGATATTAAGTAACATTCTCGCTTGTATATGTTTTTTAGCAAGGTTAAGCAAGTTATATAGTCGAGCTGGTATTTACATACCATACCAAATAATAAGATATTATTCGTATTAGTAACATTAAGATTACACCCGCAAGCTTGTATGTAACAAGATCATGATGATGTTCATCAAGTGCGGTTGGCGTCTTATTTTCATTATTCTGTATTTTTTTTTATAGATAGGTCCGACAAATTACTCCACCCCACCCATATGTTAAGTGACGGTGAAGATAGCTGGTACAGCAGTTCTGCCTGCCACACCAGCCATCCTCACCTTGCCGGCCTGCATATTCACGCCGTTGAATTTGAATAGTGGCCATAGTTAAGAGGGATTGCATTTTTCTGGTGATGTTTTAGGTCTTATAAAATAATAATTAATGAAGTTATTATATAAAAAAAAGTTATATTTCAGATATTTTATAATTTTTTGATAAGTAGTTATTGTACTTTATTCAATAACAAAACACGACGTAAACCTGCGTCATTATAAGGTAAAACTCACAGGTTCGATGATATTTCAAAAGTTAATGAGACGGAAAATCTATTTTATGATATTATTATGTTACAAGAACATATTTCTGATAATGAATTAATTTAAACTAGTTTATTCAATCTAATTCATAGATCTACTTAGGCGTTTGAAGTTTTGCATTTTTTCGTAGTTTTTTCCGTAAACAAGGTGCGGTAGAACGCTCGCAAACTATTCGAATTCGATATTGGTTCGTGCTAAGGGTACAGTACAAAAAAGGATAATAATATTTGCACATATTATACATTCTTACAATATGAAAGGTAAATCTACTTCTTACTTGTTTCAAAAATAGTCAAAATCAATTAGGAGGGTAAAGCATGCCCTCAAATATATTATATATTATATATATATATATATATTATATATATTTTCTTGCAAAACATGTGAAAGGGCTCTTAACTTTAAGGCCGCGCTAACTCTGTGCAAAGAAGCATCAAATCAAATACTTTATTTGTGATACACGGGTTAAAGTTACAAGCCGTGCGATCAGCGCCATTTGGCATACAAATATAGCCAACGCTATGGAAGAAATGAAAAGCGCCAATTTATTATAATGCCGTTCGGGTATAAAAAGAGGAGCTTGAAAGATTTCGCACACCCTATCCTACCTGTGGAGCACTAGACTATACATAAACCACGATGTTTATGGAACCACAGGAACACAAAACTACAGATAGAAAGAAACCTATTATTTGCTTGCAATCTTCTGTAAGTGTAATATTAAGATTGACCATACACGGACATCTTTACGCAGTTGAACTGTCGATTGCAAGGGCGTCGCCAAAGGGAGGCATTGACTAGGAGTTCATACCTTTTTATAGAAGGTCAATGCTTTACACCATTTAAGAATATGAACTTGCTCCCATATCATCGACGGGTAAACTGCTACCCCCTGACCATCGACTAGCGACGCCCTTGTGCGACTGCTTAGTGAACTACAGTAAAGACGTACACGCATCCACGGAAAAGACTGTAGTTTACTATAGCAATCCAACCAGACTGCTTCAGGCAACAATTAACGTGCAACAAATGACGCCAACATGTTCAGCAACATTGCACTACAATGCGCAATGTTGCCAGACGGTGCGTAACACCAGGATCATGCCCAAATAAAAGTTACGCGTTGTACAAAGTGGCCAAACATGTGAGCATATTGTGTTGCACGTCAATTGTTGCCTAGTGGATACGAAGCTTTAAAAGCTGCCCGTGTATGGCGGCTCTAAGGTGGTTGATATTTCCCACAGATTTATCCTGACAGGCGCATCATTTGGCAAACTCTCTATGGCATCCCTTATTTATTAATATAATAAATATCAAAGAAAATTACATTAAAAATGTTATATTTTTTATTAGTAAGGTCAAAATTATAAATTCTTACTACATGGTATGCATTACCACTGCGTAAAATCTTTGACGCAGTCCTTTAAAAACAGAGAGATTGCGTAACAACTCCAAATTAACGATTCCATAATAGTGGTGTGAGCTAATTTTGTGACTCAGTTATTGATTACTTATATTAAACTTAACAAAATATAAAACAATATCATAAACATGATATCACTTTTTGGTTTTTTTTTTTGTTACGTACTTAAATGAAAAAAAAAATCGTGATCATTCAACCCTTGTGGATTTCCCACAAGGGTTGAATGGTCACGATTTTTCTTATTTACATTAAAAAAAGGATAATAATATTTTCACATACAATGATAATAAACTTAAAATATCGCGATGGGATGACGGCAAGGCTGAACGGGACCTCCAGGATATAGTCACAGTTTTTAAAGACACGGATCCGGAGAATATACCAGTTTTCGTGGCCCGTGATCTACACAAATTACCACCGACCATCATAATGATATCATTTGATCATATTGATGTTACCAGACTATTAAAGGATTTGCTGGTGTTTCGTGAAATCTTGTCTAAGTTAAAAGCTGAGTATGTGACGAAAGATGAGCTCCTTGAAGCCCTGAGTTCCAAAAGGCATGTGAAGTCTCCAGGTACTTGTACAGAGCCGACAGACCCATGTGCAGAACTCAAAGATAGTCGGCGACGGGACACAATGGAAACCTGTAAAACCTAATGAAGAATGGATTCAAGTGCAAAGGAAAAGATTACGTAATCGGTTCATAGGAAATACAGGCAGTGCACTGAATAAAATTGGAAATTTAAGAGCTGCTAATATAAAAGTCCCTTTGTATAATGTTGCTAAGGAGGTCACGGAAATGGATAATAAGGAATATATTTATAGAAAGACAAAAGAGCAAGTATCACTGTATAAGCTAAAAATCTACGAGAAAAAAAGCTATGATTCGTATAAGATATTTCTATAAAAAAGCAAACTATCTTTTTAACTAGATAATGAAATGTGGCCGACGGATGTTCGTTTTAGGCAGTTCATTAATTTCCGAGACTCGGGTCGCACTAACCGTAAGCATCAATGACAGGTAGACTCATTGTTTACCTATTTTCGGTCATTAGAAGAGAACAAAATTAAAACTAATGATGGATAAACACAAGTTAAGACTCATTACTTTCAACTGTAAGGACATAAAGAGGTCTATGCAATGCGTTAGAGAATTATGTAGTAAGGCTGATGTGATAGCACTACAAGAAACGTGGCTGCTTCCACACGATATTTCATTGCTGGACGAGGTTGACCTTGAGTTCAGTGCGACACATAGGGCTTTCATCTCGGGAGTCTCGGTCTCGAAAATTCCGAGTCTCGATCGACGATTTTGTCGTATTTTCGAGACTCTAGACCTCAACTCCAGTTTTCGAGACTTAGTTAAATAATCTACAAAAAAACACCAATCTACTAAACCACCATTCTTTTTTAATTCGGTTACGTGGCAACACTGTAAAGTGAAAGTTAGGGTAATCTGTAGAGATTGCAACCTAACCTCAAAAACAATACATTCACAACTTCACTTAATGTTTCTTTATAAAAAGTTAGAAATGATTTTAATGATATAATGATTGCGGAGCTCATCAATTTAACTGCTAAAGAACAGCTGGCGTGTGAGCTTGAAAACTTGCTACATCCTCAAAAAATAGAAAAACAAACTAGCATCCATGACTTGCAAACGACTTTGCATGTAGAAAAAGCTCTCTTTGAGAATGGTGGCGATAGAGAGCATTTAAATCAGTGCTATAATTATTTGTTATCCATCCCCCCTACTAGCGTCGAAGCAGAGAGAGGTTTTTCTAATGGAGGTTACTTTTGCAACAAGATCAGATCCTCTCTATCTGAAAACACTTTGAATGCCCTTTGCTTTCTGCTGCTATATTCTTATATTTGATTATATTTTAATAGTTAATTATTAAAGTACTTAATTGAAACATATTGTATTAATTGCCTAATTGTATTAACCTTGAGTATGAAACTTATTTTCAAAATCTCGAGTCTCGTTTTTCCCGGGAATCCCCGAACCGGACCGAGACTCGATTTTTTTTCCCGGGACTCGAAAATGTATCGACACTGAAAGCCTTAGTGCGACAGGAGTATCGGCGGTGGATACGAACGCAGGGCCGCTGCGCGGGCGTCCGCACGGCGGTGTGGCGCTGTTGTGGCGCCGCGGCGCCTTCTCCCACGTCAAGGTAGTGCAGTGTAATCACGAAAGGATTTGTGCCATACAAGTTTCGCTGAGTAATCGATCTTTCTTGGTGGTTAGTGCGTACTTACCGACCGATTGCTCTGAAAACTTAGTATTGTTTACGGTCTGTATGAGCGCAATTAGTGCTAATGTAGAGTGTCGGAGTGGAATGTGTATATATGTATTGGATTACTTTAACGCGCACCTGGGGAGGCAATTTGGTAACGAACTGTTGTCTTTTTGTAACAACCAGGAGCGGTTATGTGCGGATGTAGAAAAACTGGGCGTTGACTCTGGATCTTATACTTATGTCAGTGATATACACGGAACACGGAGTTGGCTCGATCATTGTCTCGTTACTAGGGCGTCATGGTAATCTATTCTGAATTTAAATGTATGTTATGGTATTTACTGGTTTGATCATTATCCATTACAAATTAATTATAATCTAGAAATAATGAAATGTACAATTAAACCAAAAGTTAAACGTTATAATAAGGCGATATGGGGAGAACGGGACATAAATCAAATTAATGAATATAATAAACTTTGACATAATAAATTAAGAGAATTAAATTTTCCTATTGAATGTAATCATTGTAGTGACTTTTTATGTTGTTATATGGACCATAGAAAAATTATTAATACAATATATAAGCACGTAAAACACCTGCACGGTCAGGCGCGGCTGCATTATAAGGTGTGGGTTCTTTATGGAAAACCGAATTGTAGATTATATTATAACAACATGTGCGATAGTCGAAATAAATTTAGAGCTAAGATAAAATGGTG